CTCTGCGGACGTTTCACCGGATCTGGGAGATTCGATGTGTCAAATTCGCGAACTGGGTCGTGGGTTGATTGCTTGCCAGCTTGCGTGTTGACCTGTGGCGGGGTGCTGGCTTTGTACTCAATCTTTTGAATGATGAACTTTTCTTGAATCAAGTTCCGAGTGCGAGTCAAGTGTGAGGGAAAGAACAAGTTGAATATCGAGAGGCGGTAACTGGGATTGAGAATTGTGGCAAGCAAAATGGCGTCACATTTCAAGGCTTCTGAGAGATATTTGTCGGTTCGGTCAAGCATCTTTGTGTACATCGGGTGAAAGTCGGCTTCGGTTGTCAATGTCATCTTCTTGTTGAGCAGAGCTTTGATGTATCTGTATTCCGCAAGTATCATCCCAGCCAAGGGGATATCACCTTCCATCTTCTTAGTTATGAAGTAAAACTTGCTGAGAACATCGTTGAGCCGTTTGACATTGTCCCAGTCGGCTCGAGTAATCTCGGTATCATCGTAACAATTGTCGCTCCCTTCCTTTTCATGTCGATCTCGTTCATTATCAATCAGCTTGTTGATGACTTGTCGCGCCTGGTAAGCTCGGTCTCGGCTGATAAATTTGATATTCCATCTGATGCCATACCCTGCAATCAACAATGGTCCATCGTAATCCAACTTCTTTGCCCAAGTGTCAAACTCCGACCGTCAAGCTGCTGAGGAGGTGATCTTCTGAATGACAAAGTCGACTTTATTGAAGCTCAGTTGGGCCAATGGTGTTTGGCTGTTTTCGCTGTCGTGGGATACTTCATTGTACTCATCATCGACGTCGTTATCCTTGGGGTTGGGTCCAAAAACCACATGCTCCTCGAAGGTATTGGGATGGACTGGATCTTTGGGTTCTTCAAGGACAGGCTCCAATCCCGGGACAAAGCCAAGGGTAGATGCTTTAGTCTTCGTGAGGCCATCCGTATCGATCGATATTGCCTTGAGTCCAGCGGTGAGGATCAGACCAATCTTATGGCAGAAGCATCGGATGTGGTTCTCGGATAGCTTGAGCTTGACTCCTGTTTTGATTTCAATCATACGGTCGACCTCTGTTACCATGGTGCCATTGTTTGAGCCGGAGTCGGTAGTCTGGGCTAAGATGTGAATGAAAAAATAAAAAGAGCCAAGTTAAATCACTGGCTGAGAGACAAGGGGTAACAGACAAAAAAAAATGGAGGAAAGACTTATCTTTTCTTGAAGATCCGACTTGATGATGACATTACAAAAGGGGATTGCTAAGTTCTTACCCTTGTGAGTCCAAGAAATGAACTTCAATCCAAGATGGGTGATGACAAACTCCCAATCGTCCGTCACGTAAGCCGCGGCCATTCCCATGAATGCATGTCGGTTGCCTTTAGTAGTCCAAACGTCGTGTATGAGGGTTATTTTTGATTTAATATTCTTGAACAAAAGTAGAAGAATAGTCAGCCATAGGGGAAAAATGGAGGTTCAGAGGAGGAAAGAGAATGATACAGATAATCAAATGGGAGATTGAGATATCACACCTGGAGCCTTGATATCACAGTAGCCTGTAAGTTCAGATAAATCTTGTGCGCCTCAATTGCTGCCCACACACGGCTGAACAGTTTAATACCTTGCTTGACGTAATTGAATGCGATCTCGAGTAGTTCATCCTCCATTCGGAACCACGGCAAAGAGTGCCGGATGAGCCATAGCACAAGGATCTGATTGAGAGTTTTTTGGTCAAACTTCTGAGTCATCATTACCTTTGGGATACTTCCTTGGTGGCATTTGCCTTGATTCTTCTCCATCTGAGTCGTAGGTAGCTTGGCGCCGGCAAGTATTGCTTCACCTCTTTTTGGACATGGATTCCGAGTCTTGTTTCCATCGCGGTGTAAGACTAGATTACCTCGTGATCCTTTGGCTTTCTTGTAGCTAACTCCACACCAACGACACTCGTAATGCAATGGGGTGCCAGAGGAATCCTGAACATCCAAGAGTTGCAATCAGTTGTGGCCCCTTGGTTGCAACAGAAAAAAACACGACAATCAAAAATCACTTACTTCACCATCT